TAAAGTTTTTTTACTATGATAATCCCATGGATGAGCCTGCACTCCAAACACAAAAAAAAATTGGCTCCAAAAAGTATGGAAACCATACAAGCATGAAGCAAATAAGCAATAAAGGGGGCCAAAAACCTCTTCCTTCTTTTCAGCAGTGGATACTGAAATTAAACAGAAGACTTTTAAATAAGGAGGCTTGAGATTGCTCTAAACCCTCAATTTCAGATGGCTTTCTCTATTGCTGGAGCTGTACAACACAGAGCAGAGGAGCTTAACGTGGTCATCTCAGCCACACAGCTCTGAGTGTGAGCAGTAAACCCCACCCGCCCGCTGTTTGAGCCTTCTGTCTATGAGGGGCAGCCAATTACAAGAAAGCTAGCCTAAATGGAGGCTGGTATTAAAGGAAAAGGTGCTAAAGGCTTGTTTCACACAGTGGATGACCAGATGGGCTACACTAAGGGCTAGGGTGTGCGAATCATGCAAAACTACTTTTATTACACCCAGTAGACAAATCAGAGACCTAAAAATGAGGAGAATAGATCCCCTTTAAACCTCAAAAACACACGTTTAGCAAAACAAGGTCCTTTGATTCTGTCTGGAGGGTTTTGTTTGGTTCACTTCTCTGATCATCAGACATTATTGCAGTTGCAGCTGCCCACTGACCTGAGTTAAAGTGTGCAACTTGTAAATTGGATCACATCCTAGTATTGAAGCTAAGGGCAAAAAAATCCAGAGGATTTAAAGCACTGCTACAAACAAGCTTCGCAGTCCCTACACTAACCTTTGTTTCTGATGTTAGAGAGGATGTTTGTGATTTCCTTTTGAACCTCCTGGTCTTTCCCTTCACTCCCAGACAATTCCCTCTTCCTCAGCCTCAAGGAAGAGAACAAGTTGACCCTTTTGCGTGCAAATGGGCCAATCTTATCAGCGAACACCTCTCCAGAGTCTTTACGGCCCTTTAAGGACACCTGCTGCAACAGGGAAGGCAGGTCCTGCCCCGCCCCCCATGGATCTGCCCAATGAGCTTCGCGCATGCTGGCCCGGTCCTCTCGGGATGACTCTGGCGCTATGGCACTGAAGCGTGAGCTAAAGCTAAACGCTCCCTCGGACATGGGCCTCCGTTTGCGGGGAGCGTCGTGTTTAGGTCTCCTGTTAAAGCAGAGGAAAAGTATCAGAATTGAATCTGAGAGCAGTAGAGAAGACAGCTTGGTTTATATAACAGCAAACTATGAGCCAAGTATTTTATACATTATGACTGCAGCGTTGGAGCTGCTGAGTTGATTGGTCCCGCTAAATGTCCTCCTGAAGGCGTTGGCTATAGCCTGGAAGGCTGAGGGGGATGAAGCTGAAGTTTGGCTCGGGGAAGCCTCCCCGCTCTGGATCGAGTTTCTCCGAGGCTCATCTAGTTGTGCCTCTGCCTGTACCTGATAAAACATGAGAGGAGAGGATGAATGTATTCAATATAATGCAGGATTAATTCCTCTTATATCTCTCACATCACTGTCCTTGAGCCATTCTACATAGCATAGAAGGAAAAGATGAGAAAACTATCTTTCATATCCAGGCTCATCTTCTCTCAGGTTAATAAACGGATCAAGTCTCCACCTGGTCCTTATGTTGTGGTGCGTTTTCGGTGGTTGTGCTAACGGGAGTTTCCTCTGGGTTGACCTCCACGTCCCAGTTCAGAAGCTTCTCTTTGGCAGAAAAGGACAAGGCCAAGCGTTTCCTTGGCGTAGATGTTCCGCAGACGGCCGAGCGCTCCTCACTCGTCTCATTTACCTCTGGAGGATTCAGGGTATCCACTGATGTCTTGGAACTGCTGTCCGAGTGCTGAAAGAAGAGCAGAAAATAGTCTTTTTGTTCACACTGTGCAACGTCGATGAATTACACAGACACCCTTGCTCTTAGTTATAAGATTCCTTAAAAACAAGACCGTTCTGTATCCAGTGAATGGAAATTAGTCATAACATACAGGTTGTTTTTCTGCTGAAGTGATCTCCTCATAGTCAGAGTCGGCTTCAGGGACGGTATCAGGTCCGTCTTTGTCCGGCTGTGAGCTTTTGGGATAGCGCTTGATGAAAAGCAGAGGGAAGGCTACATAAAGAGACACAACAGGGAACACTTTACAACAAAAAAATATGCAAATACTGCAACCATTTTTCTGTTACCCAGCAACTATTAATTTACCTGAACATAATACAGGCACGAAACACTGTCTTTTTTTCTTTTAGGTTCAGCATGCAAATGGAAAATGTGAAACACAGACATCAAAACTTCAGCTTCACATTACTTCTCACATCTTTAAAATGTGAATGATGCCACTGAAGTGACTGACACGATTCAACAGGGTTCTTACAGCTTAATGCAAGTTGTATGAATTTTAACACCAACTTTGCAATATCCAGAATTAAAGAGAAGAAGTGCACCAGGTGGCAGCTCTGAAATAAAGCCAATGTTAGCATCCACAATAAGCAGATCCGAGGTAGTGCGCTAATCCAAAATGGCTGATGTTTTGGCTTTATTATCTGAAATGTATGCAAACGTATGGGCATCCAATGGGACTCCACTGCAAAGATTTCCACTGTGCACTTAATACAGCACGCCTCTTAAACAGTGGCTGGTACCAGTTCAGTCATGCAGCAAAAACTTGGTTCAAAGTGCAATTTTCTTTCAATCTGTGCAGTCAGTACAATATGATAAATCGACCTGCATTTACACAATGCTTTGATCATAGTCGCTCACACACTGAAGGGCACACGAGGGGCAGTTTGGGGTTCAGTATCTTTTCTAATGAATAATCAGACCCCAAATTATCTTAAAGACCTCATATCACCCCAATAGAGCACCTTGCTTTCAGACTGCTCTGTTGGGGTGATAAGACTGTTGGCTCACTTGCGGTTCCTAAATTTTTAAAAGTAGAATGGGAGGCAGAACCTTCAGCTTTCAGGCCCCTCTTCTGTGAAACCAGCTCCCAGTTTGGATTCGGGAGACAAACACCCTCTCTACTTGTAAGATTAGCCTTTAATCTTTCTTTTTTGATAAAGCATGTAGTTATAGGGCTGAACCAGGTGACTCTGAATCCTCCCTTAGTTATGCTGCAATAGTTCTGGGCTGCTGGGGAACTTCCATGAGTGTTTCTTCTTCACTCCCTATGTGTTTACATGCCACTCTACATTTAATCATTAGTTATTATTCATCTCTGGCTCTCTTCCACAGTGTCTTTTATCTTGCCTCCCTCGCTCAGCCACAACCGGTTGTGCCAGATGGCCGTTTCTTCCTGTTAAAAGAGAGGTTTTTTTCCCCACTGTCGCCAAGGGCTTGCTCATAGGGGGTCATCTGATTGTTGTGGTCTTTACCTTACAATATAAAGCGCCTTAGATGACTGCTGTTGTGATTTGGTGCTATATATTATTAAATTTGAATTGAATAGTATAGAGTAATATTTAGCTTTGTCCAACTCACAGCCAGTCAGTAAATAATTTCAAACCAGTTTGTTTTCAATTTTAAAAGTCCAGTGTCTGACAAAAGTATTAATAAGAATGCTAAGATGTCACAATTCAATTGAAAGATTGATTTAAGAGATTTGACACAAAGCAAGCCCCTTGTTTCTGTTAAGACCTTTTTGTAAATGTGACAAATGAAAATACCTGCTGCAAGTTATTTTTAGAAACCTGTATCTTAGGGTTCGCTAACTAATGACAGATTAATGCAGGGGTGTCAAACTCAAATACACAGTGGGCCAAAATTCAAAACAGGAACAAAGTCGCAGGCTAACGTTAATATTTATTGAAATATATTTATTCCTCCAGATATAAGAATGAATCTTTTCTTATGGACTCAAACACGTTTTGCTGAAAAACTGAATATGGAACAAGCAAAGCTTAATACTAAACAATATATATTAGCTGTATAATACCAGTAGGCCAGCTCTAATAGTAATTTGGTATGGCTTAGGCCCGCAGCCAGAGTTTGACACCTATGGATTAATGAGTACAAGTGTAGGTGTGTACTCTTTAAAAACCAGTGTGAGCCAAACCACCTTGAAACAGGTGGCAGATTGAATAATGCTAAAAATATATGTATGAACTGTAAGCAGCCATAACAACAAAATTATCAACCAGACACATAAAGAAGGAAAACTATTTGTTTTCTGAGGATTTGTCAGTCATGGCTGCAGCTAGGAGGAGGAATACTGTCTGTCCATCACGTCACAGGAATCAAATCACTCTGCAGAAAACAACAAACAGCCCAGAACGCTACAAAGTTGGGAAACAGTGACCTCTAGTGTTGAATATATTGAATGACAGTTTATCAACTACAAAACAAAACAAAACAACACAAGCCTACAGTAACTGTAATTGGGCACTTTCCCCACTAACATCTGGTTTGTCACATCACGTTATTTGTGCACAGATATTGTAGAGTGAAATGTTTTATCAGTAACAGCCTGCACTGTAAAAACAACTAAGTCTCACAACCAAACTATTAATAGCTGTCAGACAAGAAACAAGTTTTCGGTTCTCATTAAGACGACGACAACAGGAAGATTGATGATGATGGCAGAGGCAAGACCAGAGTGAAAATCTGAGCTACTCACTTGCTCGAATTTTCCGCTTCCATCTGTTGTGTTTGTGTTTGGGGTTACAGTGATCTGCAAAACAAGGGAAGAATTTCTATAAGTTGCAAAGGTTAACATTAAGGAATTAAACACAGAAAAAATGAAATGAAGGCTGATTAAGTGAATGTGGGGAATGCTGTCAGGTAAGAATTTGGTGTGGAACAGATCAGGTGTGGGTCACATGAAAAAGCTCATCTCACCAGGTAAGAAAAAGAACATTTTAATAATAATGTGCGACATCATTTTTGCAAAAAAGTTGGAATATGGTATAACATGTAAATCCAAACAGAATGCAATAATGTGAAACTAATTTAAAGGCATATTTCACTGAAAATAGCACAAAGATAATATATGACATACCATTTGTAAAATATGTGATATTTTAAATTTGAAGCCAGCAACGTGTTTCTAAAAAGCTGGGAAGAGCTTTTTCATGCATTCCTGCAAGCCTTTGGTTTGCTGTAAAGGAAACACATTTTGCTTCTTTTCTTTATTTTAACAAAGAGCTTCTTAAACAGGTGGAAAAATATCCATTAGAAGCGGTAATGAATGGATTTGAGTGATATCTCAAGCACATCTCATGTTGCAGGTGTTACTTAGCCTATTTAAATAGGGAAGAATAGTGAAATTGAGATGTTCTGTATTCTGCTTTAGAATCTCTTACTGGATAAGAGGAGATACTCTGCGAATACTAAGAACATCAGCTTTAAGAGTTTAAGAGTTTGCAATGTTCATGTGGAGAAATATATGTAGACCAGAGAAGAGAGGTTATATTTCAAAAGGTACAGATTGCTCAGTGACACTTGATGAGCTGCACATTTAAAGATTGCACACAATGTCATCCTTTTTAATCATGTGTTGGATCTGTATATGATGTGTTTTGATAAATTAGGTTTTTTCATATTGTGAAAAGTCC